TGCTGGCTTGTGGCTCCTTGCCACCCTAAACACTGGAGACTCCCTGGAGGAATACACATTGGCAAAGGGCCCCAGCAACAGTTCAAGTGAGCACTGAAGGAGAGATTGCAACACTGTGAAGAGGGAACCCTGGACTTGCTATAAACTAAGACCTAACTTTTCCTTTCAACCCAAGAGATCTGAGAGACATATAAAATCTTTTCCTGCCTATTGTCCATCTTGAATTACATATAAGCATGGTCAGACATCTCTGAATGGCCTAGGAATATTCAGGAAAAGGGTATTCCTATACAGATTCCTATACAGATTCCTACACAGAGGAAAGCCATTTTTTTATTATTTTAACAAGCTTTTTACATATTAGTCTCAACAACCTTTCTGCAGCTAAGCTTCTTACCATCATGATTAAAAATTTTAACCTTTTCAATTAGATGTTTCCTGTGCTATTTGCTTCTTTTGTCATGTTCTTTTTCATGCATATTACAGCCTGACAAATGCAGCAGAATTTGCTAATTCAGATTAACGACTGGAAGACCTATTGCAAATTACTCTGCTTTGTGGATGAGTAAAGTAACTCAGCAAGTACAATGAAAAACCAAAGTACATTTTGTGATATATTGTTCTTGTTCACTTATTTTGACAACTGTTGTGCAATTTTATAATACTTCATAATGTAGTATTGTCTGCTTTGCAGAAGTAATGGAGTTATATGGCTTTGATCTTGCAATGAATCATAATAAATATGCTTCTTTGTTTGCAAAACCCAGTCTTTAAATTTGCTTTTTAAGTTATTCTGCTACTTAAGCCTTTGCTTGGAAATACAGGAAACAAAGACCTTTTGTGTGTGAATTTCACAGGTGCATGTTAAAGAAGTTCTGAGAGTAGTGCAAATAAATGTTATAGCTCCAATCCTTCTTTTACTGCATCATTTTCTAGGTGAGTTTAATCTTACTGAATCTCTCAATGGTACAATAACACATCCATCAGCCACTGGAAAGTTTAGTTTTCATCTGAGACAGATGAGAGCACCTGAATCACAGTTTCAAAGCTCAACATACATTTAATACTTGAGAGTTTGCTGTGAAGGTGGTTTTGTGTTGGAATCATTGATATATCATGCAAATTTTAGGTGCTGTAATGGTGACATTTATGGCAAGAATACATTCTAGAAAAGACTTCTCTACCAGAGCTTTTAAGAAAGTGAGAGAAATAATTCACTTCCTAAAATCAATAGAATGGTCAGAGTTATGCACAGAAAGAGGTGTTCATTATATTTAACTAATTTACCAGAATTTTACCAATAATAATTTCAAAAATTAAAAAATTTATTTTAAAGAGCATGTATATCCATTTTATGGCTAATTATCTGAATTACTGTGCATACATATCATACAAAAATACAAAAATCACCCTGTTTGATATAGTCCTAATACAGGATGTGGGTTCTGCTTTTGTTGGTTTTTTTTAAGGTAAAACCTACAACTTTTCCTGATAAGTTTATAGTTATTGTCCTCCTCAAACGTGTAAATCTTCATCTCCATGAAACATTGATTTTCTGACAATAAATCTAATAGGGACAACAAATTAAACTTCAGTTTAACAATTCTTTTAATCTGTGAATGCAAACAAGCTTGATCACTCATCCTTTAGTTTGTGACCACTGATCAATTGTCTTTCTCATAAAACTCCTGTGTTTTATGTGCAGATCTTATTTTCTTGGCTTTAGTCCAAATCAGGCAGACATTTACTACCATCAAATCTCTGTGCCCACAATTCACTATGGGGACACATTTTTTTAACATGTACAGTTACATGTCTGGGTAAAATCCAACTGAAAATTTGGCTGTGCACCTTTTATATTCAACTACTTCAGTAAAACACGCTTCTTGTGGCAGGATACTCAACGCAGTGCTGAAATATTTGTGTTCTGGTTTCTTGTGGGTTTGGGGGAACAGCTGTTTGAACTTCAGAGGAACAAACTTTATTTGGTAAATTGGGAAGAGTTAAGTTGAATGTCAGCTGAGGGTCTGGTGAGACGAAGCTTATAAAACAGGTTTCAACTCATTAAAGAAACCTCTCCAAATACAGGAAAATCAGCTTTTATCAGAAATAAATTTTCTGGGGAGCATCTGTAGAAGTTCAGAAAATCTATTCATAAAATTAGGCTCAATTATCCTTTTCAGAGGGCAGCTTTACATTTTGCAGCTCAGAACGACTGAAATTCCTTTAGACTATTTACCTTCTTTAAGCATTTCTTTAATGATGCTTCCAAACCTTCTGTGACACACAAGTATTTTTGGAGGACAAAAGTAGGTGGAGGGTACATAGCACCTTCCAGTCCCTGCACTGGAGGAAGAAGTAACCAGACAGTTACAGCTTCCTGTTTGGAGGGAAGAGAGCAATTCTGAAGGTCACCTAGGACCACACAGTGGGAACTGCATAGCTAGAGCTGGAAACACTGCACATCATCTTGCTCACCTGGCCTTGCAGCCTCTGCAGTCAGCCTGTCTCCTTTCATTAACTGGTTCTACACCTTGCAAAGCAGCATGATGTGGAGGTGATTTGTATTGCAGTAGCAATATTCTTGGCAGACTTATGACTTTTACCCACTGGAACCAATGGAAAATGAGTCTAGCTGGGTCTTTTTATTGACTCCATTCCATTATCTTCACAGGTGCTTTCTTTCCTGGCTTGTTCTTTTACCTTATTATGGACAGAAGAGCAATTTACTGGACAATAGCTTCTGCATTGCTCGCTTTTCATTTCCCAGAAAATATCACTACTACACTCTTTAAAGTTACTTGAGACCTGTCAAATTCTTTATCACTCTTTATAACAAACTATTTGTTGTTTCAGTAAGTGAAACATTTCACGTAACTGACGCCATGGCCTTTATACCCACTTATCTACCCACAACAGATCAAATTTTCAGATATTCTCTGTGTTCCCCTTCACAGCTATAGTAGCCTGACAGAGATTTAGACATTTTCCATTTGCTCACACATGACTTCTTAAAATTTGCTCTAAAAACAGCTTAGGAACTAAGGTAAAGAATGACCATTAGTTTTATCTCCCTCTCATTTAGCTACACACCCTCAGTGAAAAACAATACAGAGTTTTCCATTAGAAATGAAAGGTAACGATGTGAATAATAGAATTCAAGTCGCATCATCTCCAACTTTTATGTGATGATGCAAACTGACCTCATAATTTTGTCATCTTCTGTATTTACAGCCCAATAATGCTTTTCTGGCAGTTCACGAGGGCTACTGAATTTATGAGAAACTTGCAAGTCAGGTATTTTATGAATATTTTGCCTGCATTTCTTGAAAATTATTTCTTGAGAAATTTAAGTCTACTGTGTGTACTGGATTAAAATAGCATAAGAACTAAGTTATAATTTATACTATTTTGTTTTAAATTTTATTGTATGGAAATACACGTTTTCATTGTTGATGATATTAACCTGCTATGATGTAAAGCTTTCTTTTTAGAGATAATGGTGTTTATTCAGTTTCTCAGTAGACAAAATGTACCGAGTACCAAATCGCTTTGGCACTTGCAGAAAAATAACTTAATAAAACCTGATTCAACCAATGTAGGGGCAAAAAAAGACAAACAATGCTTGCACTAAAATGAAGGCAATTCTCTAATTACATCACAATCATGAAACTGATTCTGGAATAAAAAGTCCTCCACAAAGAGTCAGTCACAAGATACCTGGTATATTATTCTGTGCACTATAGTCAAGTGTCTCCATCCATTTCATCCATTGTAGGAATTCATAAGGACAGAGGTAGTTCTTTTGATAACCAGAACTGAAGGAAGAGAGGTTTTCTAGACCAACATGAGCACTTTAATTTGCATGTGAAAGGGAACAGAAATCCAGGATTATACTCCAGTAATATTCTGTGTGCACTAGGAAATGTATGGCTGCATGTTGCAATAACGGAGGCATCTGAGTGAATTTGCACAGAAAGTTTCATAATGTTCACTTCATCAAATCAAACAAGAAGATAATAATATGGATGGAAAGTGGGACAAGTAACTGAAAACATCTGTGAGAGGAGAAATGCATAGTATCCTGCTCAACTGCCTGGCAGTGTGTCATCATAAAACATTTCAGACTGTTGGTAAAGATAAAGATGTTGTAGATGACACGTCCTCTCTCCCACCCCTCACAACACACATACATTGTACAGTTAAAACTTGGACAAGCAAAATCCACATTAATCACATCAAGTCAAAGTGAAACAGAACTACTTTTTAAAATAAGTACACCTCTTGTTCAGGCTGTTAAAAATTGATGAAGTGATGTTGGGGTTTTACAAGTACAAGGCAGTTCTGAAACTGGACAATTAATTTTGATAGTCTACATTTAATTATTTCTCCCTTGTCACCATCCCCCCTTGTCTTCGAATCGCCACCTTACCTGATATTAAAGTCACAGGGATTTTTGTTTAGCTCAAGCTAAAAACTTGACAGGCAAAATATGCTGGAGACCAGATTCCTTTGAACTATTCCACAGCATTTTAGCACCCTCTTCTGACTGGGCTACTATCTAAATAATTAACATTAAAATCTTTTGTAGCAAATTGATTGCCTGATACCTACAGTATGAATTCTAGTCCAAAGATTTGGAATTCTAGTCCAAAGCCTTCAAAACTGAGAGGGAGAGAGGGAGAAAGAAAGAAATGAGAGTGCATAGGAGTCTGATGAGGGAGATGTGCTGAATCACAGATCAGAGCAGGAGCAGGAGCAAGGCCCGTGTCCATGATTTTAAACACACAGTGGCACATCCTAACCATGCAGAATTCAGTTCTGCACTCCTGGACAACACAGACACACTGTGCCCAGCGCCTGAAATGAGCACCAGTAAAGCCCTCTGAGAGGAGGCTGCAATTGAAAAGAGATTTAAGATTAAATCAAAGAATGTCACATTTAATATTCACACCACTCTAACTGAATCCTTGCTGCCTGGGCTATAAATGGAATCTTACCTTGGGTTAGAATGTGAGGGTGGGCTCATTTCTTTCTGATAGTGATGCTCCTGGCTGACAGGCTGTGGGAAACAGAACAGAAAAGGGAGAAGGTGACTTTGCAAATATTCTTTCAGAATGTCCAGAAGTATGTAAGAGACCTTTCATGAGCATACACATTTGGACCTTCTGGTATTAGATTTTCACATTCTTTTTTTCCTTATCTCTGAAATTTCGAAGGGATATTTGGATCTTAACTGTGCAAAAGTACAACTTAAGGGATGATTCTTCTCTGGGTAGAAATACACATGAGTTAAGGACTGGACCACATGGGCACTTCTCTACTGCCTGTGAGAGTGCTGGGACAGAGTCAGAAATTAGAGATGGAAGGGTGGCCAAGTTTTGTTTGACAGAAAAACCTGGGCTGTATATGTTTAGGAACATGGTGAAGGGGCTGCTAGTGGGGTCTGTGCAGAACCAACCATCCTTAAGACTAGAAACTCTGAGCCAGATCTGATAGGGCTGGCAGGCTTGGTTCCTTTACAGGTCCTTTCCAACCATGACAATTCTGTGATTCCTCTCTCCTCAGAAGCAGCACTAGCAGTAATTTTAGCAGTCTAAATGAAGTCTGCTGAAGCACACCTGCTTCTCTGTGGCACTGCCAGTTTGAAACCCTGATGGAGCTGTTCATGAATGGTGGACTGTGTGAATTTTCATACAAAAGTCTTCAAATCTTCCCTACCCATGGTAAGACTGTAATCCAAAGGTTTTAAGATACATTTGGCTCGTGGCATTAAAACCAGTTATTTGCAAGAATAATATTCATAAAATGGTGTAAAAATTGAAGAATTCTAAAATTTAGGAATACATTTTCTCTTACTATTTATGTAGTGCTTCCAGAAGACACTCCCCTGCCACTATCATACACCTCAAAAGTAGTTCTAAACAAATCACTGAAGCAAATGCCAAAGAAGTGAAAGTACAATAATACTTTAACAATACTTGTACAATTTACTGCATGAAATGCTACAAATAAACACTAAGTGTAATGAAACTAATTTTTATTAAGTTTTTTTTTACATAAATAACTATAAAAATGAGCATGTTCTCATGGTTTCAGGAAGTGGAGAAGGATGTTGTAAAATATATGTTCAGGTTGAATGACATCCTAATTACTGCCAGTGTAATCACTGCCTGGTGGTGGATAGTGCAATTCCCAAATGATGGCTAGTGGAAAAGTGAAGATGAGACAGAAAGTGCATCAGTCAGTCTATGAACCAGAAGATCTGTCTAAATAATTTTAGTCTCATTTCATAGTAAAGAATAGTCTGCCTCAAGTTTTGCAATTTGACTCGATGTGAACAGATCCCTCCAGGGGTTGTCAAACGGAGCTCCCAGTTGGAATCATTCTGGGTTTAAATATCACTTCTCTTTTCTGTCAGACTTCAGTTCTGCCAGACCATTTTTCTGTTAAGTGGCTTTCTTTTCTGAAACATCACAAAGGAAGCCAGAAGATCTTCCACAAATTAGGTATGAACCCTGGAAGTACTCTTTCAAATATTTTGCAGATCAAGGCTTATGTGACTGAATTTATATTTAGGAAGTTGCTTGGGGAACAAATAATCTTCCTTGTCTGTGAGCACCCCTTGCTCAAAAGACAGGTCTTACTGGTGAGAATATTCGGAAGTCACCCAATGGAGAATTATACCACTACAAGCTTTGAGGCTGTATGCATGAGCAATCTAGGTGAATTTTCCTGCCCCTTTGCATTTCTGACTGAGAATCAAGGACCACATGCAGTAAGATGTCCTGAATTCTCTTATAGAAGATTTTTCTCCAGAATATTGTGCTGCATCTGAAGTGGTGTCTGAAGTGTGGAGAGAGGTAATCAGGAAGCTGAATGTGCCAGTTCCTTGACAGGGCAGGAAGGTCTCACTCCAGCTCTAGAATAAAGCAAGGCATTTAAGCAGAAATATTTTGTAAGCTTTGCAAATTTTCTTGGACAATGTATATGTGTGTGTGGGAATAAATGTCACATTATATTCTGCAATATATAGAACTGTAACTTTCATATTGTTGCAAAGCTATCATGAAATGTCATAGACCTAAAGATTTAAGAAAATATTCAGGTAAGGGAAGGTGAAATAAAAATATTTAGTTCTGCATATCATTGATTTGGAACTGTGCTCCACACACATTTTACAAGTGTTTATAATTCTCCTTCAGAGTAAGTCCAGTTAAAAGTAGAAGTTTTGAATATTTATAGATCTTTATATAGTATGTGTTGGGTCATGTATAATATTCAAAGCTGTTTTATTCCTTTCTGGCTGTCATAGTTTACAGCAGCTGCTAAACAACTCACACTTCAACCGTTTCTCCTCACAGCATATATTCAGTTCTTGGTAAACTATTGTAGGATATAAAGTACAGTAGCAGTATAAGAGTTTTATGGTTTAAGGACATCTGTTCTAACTGCAGCTTAGCACTATGACAGTATAAGAGTTTTATGGTTTAAGGACATCTGCAGCTTAGCACTATGATTGATCTCAGTGCCTGCACATTCAGAAGAATGTCAAGTTTCTTAGATTCATTCGAGTCAGTAACATCAGAGTTTTCAATTAATCTGGAAATCAGACTAACAATAGGAAGTGATGAAAAAAATAAATTCATGAAATATGTGGTTTATGTATAAAATATTACTGTGTAAGTTTACTATCCAACATGATTATACCCTGCCTTGCCTTGCAAACCATCATAGGTACTTAAAAAGAAAAGATACACCAAAAAACTGCCTTCTGGTGGTGCTGTTGCCATAGATTCCACTACAGAACAAAAACATGGTATAAAATGAACAAAAATTTGGAATAAAAATACTTCTTTCTTATCATTGAAGAATACAAGGGAAAGCAATGGATACCACTGTTTTAAATCATCATAAAGATTCTTGGAAATACATGTAATCCTGAAAATTTAATCATGAAAATGTAATAATTTTATTTCAAACTGTCCTTAATTTCTCAAAGTACAGTATGAGGATGATTTCTATTTCTTTTCTTTATGTTGCACTGCTAAAATAATCTGCCTGAGCAACTGGAAGATGGCTACAGATATATATACATTTTTCTGCAGTTTGTACATCTAATTTTGGAAGGATTTTCATTTGCAAATTCTCTTGACAACTCAAATGATGGTACTAAAGATCAGTGACCTAAAAAAAAAAAAGCTTTTATTCTATAAACATACTTTGAAAACTATATATATAAAGGAATAAATATAAATATAAGGAACGCTTGGTAAAAGCTGAAGAAATGATGACTCTACTCATGCTGGGTCTCACAACAAGACCACACACTGCAGAAGACTAGAATCCAAAAGAAGCCACCTTTGAACACATTCTAATCACTCTAACTGGGCTGTCTTTTGATCCCTCAGTTACAGGCTACCTGTGCAGTAAAACACTGACTGCAGATGTGAATGCCAGGTGTGGGGATTCACTGAAAACATCTGTATGACATCATCTGACAGATTTATTGATTTGAAAGCCAGAGAGAGGAACTAGATGGACTCATGACTGTAAACCAAAGGCTACTAAACTGCAGATCACCAAGAAAAGACACTGAGCTACATCAGATCTAGAACTGAATTAACTGTGAAGTGTGTCCTTCTGAATATGCTCTGCTCACAGATAATTCCCTCCTGATTGCTTTTGATATGTCAGATGGCCAGTTCTAAATTCATTCAAGGTGTGATTTATCAATATTGGATGCTGCTCATTTTGAAACAAGCACGTCCAACGTAGCACCTTGCATCTAAGACAATTGGAACTTTATCATTAAAACTGATATTTTGAACAGGACATATTTTCCACAACACCATCTTGCCTATCATTACGCATGTTCCCACCCTTTAAATCTCTGTTAACTGAATCCCATTCCAGATTTTTCACTGTTTTGACAATTATGTCAGACTAACTGGCCTACATTAACTTTCTCATTTCAGCTACTCATTTGAATATTAGCACCCCCTCACTATTCTCAAAGCCTTCTGAAATGTTGTAAGCATATCCAGATACATTACAATTTAACACCAGCATACCAAAAATGCCTCCTGCTACTCTTTTAAAAGCTTCTGTGTTAAAAGAATTTGGGATGATTAAATTATCATCTTTCCTAATAAATGTTTATAACCTTCTTAGGTACTAAAGGTCTAGAAAATGAATTCTCACCCACACATGAGTACTGCATTTTCCAAATACTAGAACAGACTTACATCAAGCAGTGTTTAACACACATGTCCATACTCCAAAAACCTTGTACTACATCTACAAATAACTGGTGGAGTGGCAGCCATCTCAGAAAGAAAATATTAAGTGAATCAATAGAACCTGTGGACTAACAGACATTGTGTCTCTGCATAAAGGCAGAGAGGTACGTGGGTAGGCAGGACTGAGCAAGTGAAATTTCAGCAGTCTTTGTTGTAGCCAAGGACTGTGTGGTTAGTCCTTACGTGACAGAAAGATTAGGTTTCTTTTCTAATTTACCTCTTCCAGAAACGAGGTTCTTGCCTTTAGATTTTAAAACCTCAATGCCCACCTCACAAAACACAGAGAAACCTGACAAGCTGTATGTGTAAGACAAACCAACTCTTCAGTCACCTGAATGGAATTTAAAAAACTTCTCCTCAAAGACAAGTGTGTTCCCTTTTGCACTTGATTTACATAGAGAAAGATGGCCACAAAGGACTAATATAAAAAAACTACAGCTCTATGAAATTACAATTTAAATTACTAACCTATTATATCTTAACACTCTTTAGACTGATGCTATTAGTCTGAAGCCACAGAAGCAAATCCAGGCAGTAGGATCTAAGAGTTGACTTTGCAATCACACTGTGCTTCACTGAATACTGGAGCAGTATATTTTATTTTAAAAGTTCTTTTTGTTTTAGTAATGTAATTTGTATTAACCAAACCTGACATATCTAAATACTCTTAGCAATTTCCTTATAATTAAAGTACTCAAAATTAGTAAGACTGCTATTCTCTTTATTTAATTGAGTTCCATTTGTCCAGTCTTGCAGACCTACACCATGTTTGAATCTGTCTAATGAGAACTGAGAGAACACACTGGAAATACGATGAAACCAACTAGATGTGTAACGTTGATGTTTCTCAAATAATTAAAACCAACTAATGTTTCTATGATATCCTGAAAAATACTGCTCTGTAAACCTAGTTCTTAACTGAACAATTACCCAGTACTGACTATACCTCTTCTCACTAGAAACCTTCATTTACCAGTGTAGCACAAAGTCCCAGTGCTGGGTTGATCATGGGTTATGCTGCTGCAGGCCCTATAGATCCTTGGAGGTAATTTTCACCCAACATTTTAGATCATTTATTCTACAACAGTTCATACCAGGGCAACACAGCAATGGTTACTCTTCTAATGTTAGATCTGCCTCTGAGAGTTGGGCTGTGTTCTTTACTTAAGCCACATTCATGGTTTGTTATTGTTTTACCTGTAAGTAAGAAGTCTGTTGCTGAGAGATAAAAGGAGAATGAAGTTATCTGGTTTTGCAGCAGTTCCTGCAAGTACCTTTATAGAGTTGCTGAAATGTTCTGTTATTTCATAGATTCAATACTCTTTGGTAAACTGTAACAAATGCTCTGCCTCTTACACCACTACTCTGCACTCTACAGTGTAGCTGTGTGTGATTTTGTACCACCTTATGCCAAGACAAATAACAATACAAGGTGTGAAATACAGAAGAATCACCTAGTAAGTGCTCAGAACTATTGCAGATTTTTACTGCTGTTCTGCTTCAGCTCTTTGGGCAGCCAGCTTTTCAGTAATGAGACTTTATCCTTGTAAGAAGCAATTATTTTCTATAACTCACACTGTAATGTAGTTGCTGACTGGTATTTCTGGGTTTCATTAGTTTTAGAACTACTTTTTAGTACTATATCACACACCTGCAGGTGGTTAGCCACTATTGTGACAGGCTGTCCAGCCTACATGATTATTCAGGATTCTAAGAAGGAATATATATATCATAGATGTGCTCTTTGTCCATGGTGGTACTACAGAACCTGCTGGAAGTGCATGGTTTTTTGTGCATGTTTTACTTGGTCAGTTCTAAAAAACATTTGGTAACGATACCTTAAATCTCAAAGCTTCTCAAATTTCAATATTCAAGACCCCTGAGTCTCAGAATTGATACAAACTATAGAGAAAATAGAGACGTAGAGAAAATAATGTGGTTTTCGACTTACTGGTGGGAAACAAGAGCTCCAGGTTGCTGTATCATCACTGCTGGTACTTATGCTGACGTTGCAGTTGTCCATCTGGGATGCACTCAGCCCATGTGAGATCTCAGTATCCCTTAATTCTTCATTTTCTTGTCTCTTCATGCTAGCCAGCATCTGTAGTTCAGATGAACTCAATCTGTTTGACTGGTAGTTTTTCCAGTCATACTCCTGTGAAATAAAATGAGAAAGTCAACAATATAAACAGGATCATAGAACAGAATATGTGAATGAAAGAGATACCTTGGAGAATCTCTTGGTGAATCTTCAAGAAGCTACAACACTAAAAGAGAAAAATGTTTTCTAGAAAAGATTAGTTATCAGATTTCTGTACAGCTCTGAAGCTTAAGCATATTTACACATAATTACAGGAAGGAAGAAGAACACAAACACTGTTATGGACTGCAGTTTGGAGCCAGGATGTTTGATGCAGTTGCTGTTCCACTGCAATTAAAAACAGAAGATAAAAGTAGGCTTTCAGAAGTTCAAAACTCCAGCAGCTAAAATTGCTGATGCATTAAATGCAAATCTTGAAATAAACCAAATCACACAATTATCGTAGTATCATAAAGACCATCCACATAACATTTAGCTATTTGTCAAGCACAGCATAAAATTTATTTAGTAAGCTATGCAAGTCAGCACTAGATTTTAAAAGTAACTTGCTAGCATATACATTTTAAAATAAACAAAATGATATTTTTCTTTATTTTAATAATAATCGGATTTGTTAATGTCATTATTATTGTTACATCAAACTTGATCCTCAGGTCAAAAACTAAAAACATATCTTGACTCATGAACATATGCAAGTGATGAATAAAATATTATAAAGGTTCAATTAATCAGCTGCACAGAGGTGTGGTACATTCAGCCCACAAGAGATGTTATCCATTGGTCATTGACTTCCTTATCTTAAGGAAAAAAGGTATGTATATATCTTAGATTTAAATGTATGTTGGTCAGTAGTTCTCACGTAAAGTGCTCACTTTCTGTGGGAAGTCATCACTACTGAAAAAGAAGGTTATTTTCAGTGACACACAGTAATTTTTTCAGTTTTAGGATGTTCTCTATACCTTAATAAAACTGTATTTTCTGGGAATCAGAAAAGAACAACTGTCCATCTGATCTCCCTTCCTGCCAGCTTTTTTTGTCCTTAGGATGAGAGCTGGTCAAAATAAAAATGAGCACAGAAATAACTAAGGAAACCACCTTTGGTGGGAAGTGTGCCTGCAAGCTGACAATCAGCAGGCAAATATATCACATAAAGTAGGATTTATGACTGAAGGGAGCTCACATGGAAAGAGCTGCATGTACAAGGATGCAAATCTTAGTGAAAAAAAACCAATCTTAATACCTATTCCAAACATTTTAGATTTTTTTACTATGTATCTCAAATTCGTAAGTCTCATCCACCCAACCTGGCCTTAAACACCTCCAGGGAGAGGTCTTCCATAACCTCTCTGGACAACCTATTCTGGTGCCTTCCTACCCTCATTGTGAAAGTTTTCTTCCTGATGCCTACCCTGAATCTCCCCTCTTTCAATTTAAAAGCCAAACATCTTTGCAAAGATTTTTTCCTACAGAATAACCTCAAGATTGCTACTTCACCTCAAGAGCCTCCTTTTTTGGCACAGATAAATATAATCTGCCTTTTTGTACAAGATATAAGAAGACGACAGAAGCTGTTAGCACAGCTGCCACCCCTTTTTTTACCCCTTGCTTGTGAGCCCTAACCTTCAGTCCTGAAGAGTGTGATGATTACTACCATTTTTAATCCTAAAACAATCCCTGATGCTTTGTACTGAATGTACATTATTAGCTCAGTTATTTGTTCATTTCTTAAAAAGCTGGCTGGACAGCCTGCTTTGATCTGAGCTGTTAACGTTCTATCCCATCTACAGCTTCTCTAACTTCTATTGATCTTACTGAAGATGTTGATTTCCTGCTTATTTTCCTATATAGAAGCCTTCTGCTTCTATTTGGTTATTGTAAGAGAAGCTTTGGCTTGTCTTTCTTACCACATGTAGGAAGGACTGGGCGTGGAGGCATTAAAATGACAGCAGGAACCAGAGCTACGCAGAAGAAAAACACTGAGCATCAAATCAACATTCTCTTTTCAATAAAGGCAAAATATTTCTAAACCCTTCTTGTCTTTTCCTTTACATCTATGAAGAAACATGCATAGAGTTTGGGAATTTTTACAAAATAACTTAAAATATTGGTTATTTTTCCCCCCAGCTTATTTTGAAGTGTCATTGTGTTTTCTTTTCCTGCACCCTAGAAATTCCATACTCAGAAAGGAGAACAGATGTAATGAAAATTTTCTGTGTTAAACATCCTGTACAACAAACTTGTAATAAAGGAGAAAGGGTCTGGACTATTTATTCTGTAGCTTGAGATGACTACTACAAAAAAGCCTCTTCACAAAATTTATATTGTCTTAGCAAATGTTCAAAGAGACAAATTGAATATTGAATTTGAGATTAAGTTTATTTTGTAATTTAGGAGAAACCTTTGATGTAAGCAGTAATTTTGCAATACTTGTAAATTTGTCTCAAATTAGTATTTCTTTTAGTAATTAAAGGCTTATCTTGTCTTTTTGCATATCCTCCCAGTATAATTAAGTATTTTTAATAAGCGCTTAAAACTTCTGCTAGATTGACAAAACCTGCTGTTTAAAGGATTTTTTTTCATATACAATGACATTTGCATTTTTCTAGGTTCAAATTATTTACTCAGAATTGTTTGTATGTAGTTCTACATGTGGAAAACTTTAATTACCAGCTACCTATATGCTTGCAATATCACCCAGAGGGCTGTACTTCGTTCTTAATTAAAAATATTTGAACTTCATAATAGAGAACACTATTAAAACATGAATAAAACATTGCAAGCAACCAGGTCCTTAAAGTGTATTAAATAGTTAGCAAATCGATTGCAGGAAGAGTTGTTAAGTATTTTTTTTCTTTACCAGTCCTCCACATGAGCAGATTAGAAGAGACTACTTCTCTGTAAACTCTCACTCCAATAACCTTGTCATATGAAACTATCCTTTCATACATAATGCTTAAAACAATGAACAGTGTTTCAAAACAGAAATACAATCATTACATGCCCACAGCCAACAAAAAAAAACTCTACTATTGTAAAAAAATTATGTTATGTCAGGTCTTCTTTTCTTCCATCTCTGAAATTCATTGGCCCAAGGCAAAGGCCATATAAATACAAAAAGCAACTGCACTTTTCACTGAAGAAGCTGCTACACTATGGAATGCTGGAAAGAAGCCTGGAGGGCCTGCTGGTTAGATATGGCTGGATGCTTGCTCTGTCCTGGCACTGGTTTTTGCCCTAGCCATCTATGAATGTCCACTGCTGGACAGAAGATGCTGGTTATTTACATGTTTGGTCTCATGGGATATAAACTGACATCTGAAAAAAAGATCTCTAAGGAAAAAGTTTGGCCTATTCCACTCCCAGATGCTTAGGAATAAATCTAGTTTATTCATACACATTTAGAGAAGAGATGACATGCTAAAAGATATGGATCTGCAGTAATTCTAAGCCCTAGAGAATTCTATCCAAAACCATGGAACAGTAAAATACTGTCTCATTTGTGATTTACAGAACACACTTGATTCTTAAGCTCCAATTCCTGAATCAAAGCAGAATTTAAGGCACATCATTAGAAGATGAAACACAAGAATGAACTATTGGGAAATAAGTAAGAACATAATTAGCTTCAGACAAAGCTGTTCTTCAAATTCCTACGTGTTTCCATAAGGAGGATCCAAGAAAAAGAAAAAAAAAAAAAAGGAATAAAACAACACTGCAGTGAATGCAACAATTCCTTTAATAGCTGAGCAATTTAGCCTGTGACACAGCCTTATAGCTGGCTCTCAATCACATAATTAATTATTTTTCAGGGCTGTTGCAGAGAGACTATGAAGTACCTACATTAATAGTCATTCTGGGGTCACTCATTAATACGCCAATTCAAAGTCTGACAATTTTCCTTTGCAATTCTTCAGCCCAAAACTACTGAGTCACACATTTCCAAAATGTGAGTTGCTCTATAACACCTCATTTTATCTACAAACCTTTGTGATTTCAGTTTTATTTGGAGGACTATTTTGTGTGCCACAAAAAACTACTAAATCGACTTTCAGCAGACTGAGCTTAGTAAATCTTGTCACGATGAAACCAGAATATAACTGGATGAAAGATGTGTTCTCACTTCATGCAAATGAGTATATCAAATATAGCTTTCTATATACAATCTAATCATGTAATTCCAAAGTAAAAAATCACTTACACAAGTCGGTGTTGTCAGACGTGAATTTTCTCTTGAGATTTTCGTCAGAGACTTTTTGCTGATGGATCTTTTTAATTGGCCAGAAAGTCCTTCATGTCTTTCAGTTTTTTCAGATCCATTTGGAGTCACTTTAAAATATTTAGATTTACTTCGAGTTGGAGAAAGAGAAAGGGTAAGCTTTAAGCTTCTCTGAGAGACAGCAGAAGCTGTTTTTCTCTCAGTAGAACTCCGGGGGTTTGGTAAGATGGTCTCTTCGAGGTCATGTTTGCTGTGTTCCTTATTCTTCCAGTATTCGTTTCTCCATGACATCCTCTTTAATGGGATCTCTTTAGAAGCTGCTGAATCAGACATTCCTTCCCTGCTGAGGCTGATCTCAAGGTCCTCAATACCCTCAATTAATTCATTGTTGTCGCCCTAAATTCAGCAAAGAAGGAAAGAGTGATTCCCTATCATCATCAGACAATACAGTTTTACATAACTGTAACATTTCAAAATGGCTCTTTAATTTCTAGTGCCCAATTTTAAATTTGCAAGGATCCTGAAAACCAGCTGCTCTTCCAGGAAACTCCACTGAGTATACCATAAACATCTTCTTATATCTGAAGTAGTGAAAAGTAGAAAATAGGAAAAGGAGGAAAGAGAGACAAGATTACCCTTTTCAAAATGTCAGCCCAAATCTAGAATGCTGGTAACTCCCCAAACCTCTGTGTTACATGATAACCACCGTTCAATAAAATTCATTACAACTGTGAATCAAAAGTCAACAAAAATGTAATGCAATGATTATTTTCTATTGAGTTATTAACTTTCCATATTTTCACATCCCATCTTTACCTTAAACATAGAAGAAATAACTTCTGCTGACATCACTTTGCTACCTCTGGTAATATCTTTGAATATAATTTAAGGGTTTTGGAAGTTAGTTTTTTAACCTTATATTCATGCTGCCAACACCAACTCTGCAAAATACCCCATGAATCAGGTGTGTGATGTTCACTCATTCCCCATCTCAAAACAAACAGCAAATCTGAGCACACAGAAAGAAAAATAACAGGGAAACTGATCTAGTGTTTGCTCAGTGTCCTTATTGTCAGAGAATAAAGTAGGAGAGAGGCCTCATCTTCATCTCATCATGCTGGTGCTCTGCCATATGCTACCACACTGCCTGGGAGACAATATACATTGCAAGGCCAAATAAGTCACTGAAACATCATCTTCCAAGTGCTGTCCAAGGTGCCATCCCACAGCAAATTAAATCAATCCAGGTTTGTTACTGGCTTCAGTGAGCCCAGGACTGGACTACACAGAATGAAACATGTATTTGAGAAAATAAGCCCTCGATTTTATTGATGATAGATGTTTTCAAAGTCTATAGTTTTATTCCCCCACTTAATTTCCCTTATTTCCTTGAAACACAAATCTGTATTTCCCTCTTTTCAATGTATTTTTATTTGCCATATGTTATCTTAAAATCTGTGCTGGAAACCTGTATCAAGTGAGGTTAACTTAAGGTTACCCCAGAAAACACTCTACTTTTCCCACACACATTAGAGATAAATGGGTAACTTTGATTTTTCTGAAGCTTAAATCCCTCCAACCTTACCATATGTCTTCAGCCACACTGTCAAGGTTTAACACTGGGTGGCATATTTAAGTTATAGAATAATCTGTTCAATATTGTATCATGAAACATCAATAAAGTTTTCTTGATTGACTGTAGTGCAGCATATGCAAACTGAAGATGAGAATGACTTCCTGAGAAATGAGCACCTCTACTGATGCATTCCTTACAAGGACATGCAGATGGGCAGTTCTGGATACTTAAAACTGATTGCTCTGGCTAGGTTGTAATTTTAAGATCATTTTAATGACTCTAAAGGACCACCCACGAGGAACAGATGGGCTACAGTGGCTACAGTCCCTTTGTACTTCAATACTGAAGTATCAGAATGAAATTATCTACCAGCCTTTGTAAGGGTACATTGTCATATTTAATTTTATTTCTTTACGCTTTGAATTGTAAAAGGTCAGAAAAATTTTCAGTTTCTTCATTGAAGGCTTCACTGATGAACTTGCCTGTTAAACCAGCATTTTTGATAGCACTGCATGACATGTGGTCACACCTGCCACAGTCACACAACTTCTGCAGTCAGCAAGTTCTTGGTTTTGCTCTGGGTTAGACAGAATCTGTAAATCCTGCCATGACAGGTTTAATTAAACAAAGACTCTGACAGAAATTTGAGCTGAAAGCATGGACACTCATATAATTACAAACTGAGTCACTTGCTGGTGAATGGTTCCAAGAGAAGAAGCAATTTTTATCCTTTACTGATTATTTGACTCTTGATAATTGAATAACAGCATCAAACTATTTTGGTATGTAATTAGTAACCACTAAAGGGAGTTTATAAACCCTTGCTGCTTTCAGTTTGCAGGCTGAAACATTTCCTCCCCAAAAGACAAAAGGTACTTAAACTATGTAATTCCAGCACAGTTATTGTTCATGTCTTAAGGCTCTTGGCATATGCAACACAGAGAGTCAATGGTCACTTATTCGGCATTTCTCCTTTGCAGCACCTCTAACTTCAAATATAGACTAGGATGAAACTGGGATTTATCACAGAATCATAGAATGGTTTGGGTTGGAAGGGACCTTGAAGATCATCACACCCCAGGTAGGTCAAAGCCCCATTCCACCTGGCCTTGAACTCCTTCAGGGATGGGGTTTCCACAACCTCCCTGGGCAACTTGTTCCAGTGTCTCACCACACCCACAGTGAAGAATTTCTTCCTAATGTCTGACCTAAATCTCCCCTCTTCCAGTTTAAAACAATTTCCCCTTGTCCTATCACTACACCATCCTGGTGAAAACTCCCTCCTCAGCTTTTCTGTAGCCCCTTCAGGTACTGGAAGGTGCTCCAAGGTCTCCTTACAGCCTTCTCTTCTCCAAGCTGAACAGCCCCAACTCTCTTTAATTCATGGCATGGTAGCATAAAAAAAAACCTAAGGAAAAATTTGGAGCTTTTACTGGACTACAAAGATACCTTTAATGAAAAAAAAAATCTATACATTTTGCCTAAGTTTCACTTATATTTTTCCAGAAGAAAGGCATTTTTTGTTCACATGTCTTTTAGGTTGAAATATTTATCTTATTTAATGAGGAGAAACAATGATGGTGTGAAAATTTGTAACAATGTCACTTATTTCAGCATGTAAGACTAACATATGTCTTAAAAGATTAAGCATAACTTAGTGAATGAAATATTTTGTCACATAAATGAAGTAAATTGGGAAACATGTTATGGTTGGGCTAAGGAATTTTGCTACTTTTGCAAAGATACCTCAAACTGTGCTGAAATAGCCACTATTAAGCCAGCAGGCATATGTTCACCTATCACAATTTTTCCAGGATCCTCTTTCCTGTATTTTCAGTGCTTGTAAGAAAACTTAAGGAATGCAAAGTAGTGCAATCCAAATATTAAATGTGTATCCAGACTCTCAGCATAAAGCTGAACTCAAGAAGCAACACAGAATGTATCTGTATGAGGAAGAGAATGAATACGGGCAAAATAAGACTGTTAAGTAATTTGTTGGTTCAGCAACTTCCTTCACATGAAAGAAAGGCTTAACTATGAATTACTAATATCATAATTAGACAGAAGAAACTTCTTGATAATCTGTTAGCATGCTTTAGATCTTTCATGTAATTATCTTTTCGCTTTGTAAGTCTAATGCATCTCCTGCTGCAGTGCTGATACTGTTTAATGCAGTTTGCATTCAAAGATAATGAATGAAACAAAAGGCTGTTCCCTAGCACATCTCTGGCACACAGAAAAGGCCAAGTTTTTGATTTATATAATTTCTTAAATACTTTTAAAGAGGACAGGGATCTTCTAGAGAGTTGATGGAGGAGTGACTGACTTTATGACCATTAATGTCGTGCCCCAATGTTGCTGGGCTGTGAAAGGAGTACTTGGCTGCTACTTCTCTCCATGTGCTTCACACTGCATCTCTGGGGTAGGACATTGGCATGGGAGGTCAGCTGTCTGCCCCAATAAAGGCTTAATTATTAACTCATGTTTTTTGATTAATTTATATAAATCCATCTTGTTTTGTGGTTCATCACTTCAGGCTGCCACACGCACTGTGTTTTGAAAGGTACTTTATTTTCACTCATTTACCACAGCATGGCCTTGACTTTTTTCAGAAGTTTTCATTTGCCATTTTTGCACTGCTTTGGAGACATATCTTTACAAAGGACTTTAAAACCCCCACTCAATTAATAAATAAATAAATAAATAAATGCAATCAAATTAGGAACTACTGAAACTGAGTACATGAAAGTGCTTGAAACCTTACACAGCTCTTATGTTATGGAAATAGTTTCCTAACCTGGCTTCTACATTAACTTCTCTGACTTTTCATGAGCATAATGGAAAAAGAAATTCCTTGAAATCCAAACAGTTTTATATCTTGGTATCCCATACAGGGCTGCCCATGAACTATTAGCCTGACTAAAATGGATTTAATTCTAACCTTCTGGAACTCTGTTTGCAATAAAAGGCTTATGAGTTTATGTTAAAACATAATGCACTGCCCCAGATTGTGGGGAAAATGCCACAGAAAAAAAACTGAGAAAAAATTTGTTTCTTAATTGTTAGCAACTGCAATTTGTTTCTCAGAAATGCAAAAGACAGAGCAGTATTTCTGTTGAGCTCAGGTCCTCTTGCTATTATGCAACTCAGTTGCATTTTATTTCTCAGCTATTAGCAAGCAGTTAGAAAGCTTTGAAACAGACCCTGCTTAGAGAATTAAAAGACACAATTAAGCCTTATTTGTTCAACCCAAATGGCCTAACATCTCACTGTTACAGATGATGTGAGGTTTCCTAGAACCTTTTTTGTTGTAGTGATGCACCATCCTCACATCTCTCTGTTGGCACAGGGGCTGACAGAGTTAGGTTCTTTTGTCCACCTGTTACAGAGGGTACACCTGCATTTTCACTCCTGTATCCAATTTGGCACAGCAACCTGACAAAGACAAATCTCCCTGTGGGTATATGGGGAAAAGATGATTTATCCTCTCTTGTCTATCTTGAAGACAGAATCTCACCCTAGGAGTTTCAGGATGAAGTCTACTTTATCAAAAATTACATGTACAAAGTGGCCTACCTCTCCATTGCTGTCAGCTCCTTGACAGTTACCTTCAGTCTGAGTTTCCCCAGGTGCTCCAGTAATGTCTTGCTTTAAAGGGGAAATGCAACATTCTGGTGACATATTTGGAGACTTCCCACAAGGAGCTGACCAAGGCCTTGATGAAAATGTGAAAATCTCTGTATCATCCACTTGGTGATCACCTGTTTTATTGCTGTTATCTTCAACAGAGGAATTCTCTGGTGAGGTTAAATTGTGCCAGGTTGAACCTCCTGCAGGTACAAGCTGTTCACTCCTTTCCAGCTGAATCCCCTCAGTGACACTTTCTGGAAACACCCATTCATCTGAAACATACAACATTTATTTCAATGTCAAATACATACATTGTATTTTACTCTGATCACACTCCTTTTCTCTGGAAGTTGTACAGCAAAATCAGTTTTTCTAACACACAAACATTCTGCTCATCAGATTTATACAGTTGGGAGTGTGACGAGGATGCAACGAAAAAGATGAGGCTGCTTCCTAGATTTGCAAGGTTAATCAAAACATTTCCAGATCACAGCTCAAAAAATCCACAGGCTATGATACATGCCATGCAAGCCTGCAATTTCCAAATCTGAAACTATTTAGCTGTTAAAATTTGGAACTGTTCAACTGAATTTCATTCTAGGAAAACAATTTTATTATATGCAGCTATTGATCTCTTTCTATAGGCATTTTTTATGGCTGACATTAAAAAAAATAATAATCACACATAGTTGGTGGAAACTTCATAATATTCCAATCTGCTCCTTCTTTATTGCTGAAATTCTACACTTTCTTTTATGTCCAGAACTTAGGGCTTAAATCTCAATTTCAAAGTACAGCTCCGATGAAAAAGTGTGACATGAAAAATGTATGAAGATCTCTGTTTCACCAAGTTTCCCTGAGTACAGGCAGTACTAATCTACCAACTTTAAAACAAATAATAAACCATAGAAATGGATTTAGAGATTGAGTGCACCAGATAAACATGAAAAAACCGTTTTTATGCTCTGATTGCCAACTTATATTTTATTGTTTGGAATGATGATATAGAAAAAAATGACAATTTGATTGATTAAAACAAATTTCAAATAACATCTGAAGAAAAGGAGAATTGCTCAAGTATGCAGTACTCCCTTATCTTCATTAAAGGTAGTGTGGTGTGGATTATTCACTAGATCTTGAAATTTTCTGGGTCCATAAAACAAATTTATCACCAACTGTATTAAAAAAGGCTCCATAAAAAAATAGTAAAAACGTACTAATAAAGTAGCACTGCAACAATAAAATGTTTGCTGTCACAGGAGACAGCAAGTTTACTGTGGTGTTCTACTCGTTTTGGTTTTGTTAGAGGTAATTATCACTTCAGGCAGATTCACCAGCTTTTTGGGGAAAAAAACTATCTGAACCACAAAGGCAAAAGAAGGAAGAATGAGAAGGCCAGAAGAAAGAGCTGACTTCCTGCTGGGCTGCTGTGAGTTTTTCCAGTTTATTGAAGATAAGCTAGTAAAGCTACCAAGCTGCAGTTCATAACCTAACAGTAGTTCATAACAGGAACCAGTGTAAAGTAAGGACTTAACACATCTTGTACATTCACGGCTTGCACCTACTAGTCCCAGAAGAGACTATGTTCCAGTCTCTACATGAAGACCAGCTAAGGTTAGAAGCCCCAAAGCTTTTCAAGTAAACTCTTTTGTTATTAGATAATCAGGCTGGTTTAACACAGCCCAGCAGATCCTTGTCTATTGTACATTTTTTAAAAAAAATCTATTTTGTAAACATATAGAAATCTCATCTTGCTTTTAATTAAAGACTTGCAAAATGAACAATTGCAATGCAATTTCTTTTACAAATATTTGGAGTAGTTATTCCAAGAGTCTCAAGAAATGAATGAGACTATTCAAAACTTTCAAGAACCACTCTTCGTTTGTGTAAACCCTATGACATTTTGTTCTGATCAATAACTAGAAATATTTCAAAGGAGAATACTAGAGTAGAATTCTCCTGTCTTTGATCACTTAAGATCAGTTCATACTCCTCTGGTAACATTTTTTACAGGTCATTCTAATGGCCTAAGAAAGGTTGTATGTTTATAAAGCAAGTGAAACTATAAGAAAACCCAAACATTTTCTGTCTGCTTATCTCCAGGATTCACCACAAACTCACATTTCACCGTTTTTATGCTTTCACTATTTATTAATGTCTATACAATCTGTACTTTTGCAGTAATCATTCCTCCTATGAAACTGAAACAGAAGAGATATCTCAGTCACTTTTCACATGAAGCTGAACACAATATTTCGATGCTCGAGAACAAAGACTCAGAAACACTTTTTCCTCACATGATTTTGTGACATAAAATGATTTTTTAAAATTGTCTTGCTCTAAATCAGTATTTTAAATTAATTATTTGTTCAATAAGACGACCCTTTTGTTTAAGGCCCTCCAAGTCTTAAATCATTTTGAATGTCTTTGACCCTAGAGATGCTGTCACATCTGTAACTCTAGAACATGCTATGCAGAAATGCCACAAAAATGTTACTTATCCCCACACTTCAATTGGCTGGACAGCTCTCCTGTATAGAAAAAGATCTTTTCCCCAGTTATTCTAGATGCTAAGTCTGAAATGTTCCTAACTCTTTTTTTTCCAGGGGAACAATATTCAATTTTAATCTTACTGCATTTTTCAAAACAACAACTATCTTCAAAACTTACTTACCTAGGAAAAATCTGGGGTATTGTCCAGTTTTTCCTGTCTTCTTTAGTATTCAGAGGAACTTTCATCCCCTCATTAAATTAGATTTGACATGTTTCATGCTGTCTTTCCAGTTTCCAAATATGCACTAATAGCCCAGACTGCTGGAATGAGCTCTCTATGCTATGGTTACACATTTAGTCAACAACCTACTTCATAAGAATCTGTTATATGTTATGCACAAAGGATTGTGAATGAGCAGAGAGGAGGGGATTAATTTTATTATAGTCTACTGACTTAATAACAACCAGCTTCCCTTACTGCAGCCTCACCTGTTCCAGTCTCATTCTATTCTATCCTGTCCTGACCTGTCCTGGAGTAGAGTAATTTCTAATGCAAGTTGATCCTGTTTAACTTTCAGATACAATTTTATAATGGGGGTTTTTTTTTGCATTCAGTAAATTTTAATCAAGCATCAAAATGTTAAAAAAGAAACATTAAGTAACAGTTTTTGTCAACTGCTTTGAGGAGACAGTAAAAGCTTAAATTCCTGATCTCTACTCCTTGCTTTGACACAGGTATCCAAAAATTTCTTACACATGATTTTACTCACTATTGTGGGTAATTTTTTTATCCAGATCAAAAGTACTTCAGAAATATAAAGAACTACTTTAAAAAGATTTAGTGTGTGTGCACTAGTTAGCCTGAGTATTTTGTATTATTGGACTAACCTTCTCTGTAAAGAAGATTTGTTTCCAGAGATTCTGAAGACGTACTTGGATTAGTGGTAAGTTAAATGCAAATATTAATTTGTATACACCAGTAATTATTCTAAATGAAATGTGCAGGGGGAAGATAGAAAAGTCTGTAAGGCTTTAAGATGACATTTTATGCTGGCTACAGAGTTCAGCAACTTCTGTAACCTGTAGCATTTTGTTAACAGTTGACAAATGAAAGATTTGGACCAAATCTAATCCTATTATCTCTCCACCACAAACTGGACTGGAATTTTTTTTTTTTAACACAGCATTTCCATGTCAATTGTAATGAACAATTTGGAGTATCTTCCTAGCAAAATATGCAAATAACAACGTCATCATAACATTGCAGCAAACAAGATAAATGCAAGAATGATCACCTAAACACCTAATTAGTTCTTCAGACACAGCCAGGCTTATGTTAAAGCTTCTAATTGCAGTCTAACATTTTAATGAAGGTTTCTGCATTGCATAAATAAGATTGGCAAACTATAAACAATGCTCACTCATTTTTTCCCTTGCTTAAAAAGAATTTACCTTTGTAAAGGTACAGCACACCTGCTACAGAAGACATACTGATATGAGCTCTATAGTAAATCTAAGACACTATTACAAAGAGCTGTGACTAACCTCTAAGGTAATAAGAACAATCACCTCTGAAAGCTTCCCTGCCCACATGAAATTTAGGTTAGTGTTTACTCAAGTTAATGGCAGAACAAGTGCAGTACTGCCCCAAGCTCACCACAGGCTGTGGTTACACAGGCCTCAAGAATACTGAATGCTTAGTGATAATAAGACAGTTGTGTATGACAGGTTCTTGTTGATACAACCTGTTTTGACCACTGTGTAAATGAGGACCCAGAAACCCTGTAAGCCTGCAGGTGGCTTTGTGTCAACGACATGTCCCAGTTGCCTGCACATTAATACTTTATCTGAAGTGTCAGGAGTATGTTTGTGGCTAAGTCATCACCACTGAACCAAGCTTGTGGTTGTTCACTATGGAGCAAGATCAGTTGCTGGGTGTTTTCTGACTAGAACATTGATCCTGAGGTTTATGGGGTTATGGTCCTGACTGTGCATGAACAGCAGCTACAACACAAGTTAACACAGAAATCAGAATTACTTTGCTTTTATTAGAAAGGCATTTTCTTTTAAAAAGTGAAAGCAAATGCAAATGCAAATGTTTTGGTAAGAAACAGGTAGAAGTGGTTTTGTTCTCTAATCTGATGATGTCAATATACATTCCCCTTCCTTTTGTAAATTATCTGTACAGTATTTTATGCAAATATGTCAATGGGTGTTTATTTACAATTATTAGGTTCCTCATTTTTTATTAGATGTTTCTGCTTTTGTATTTCTCACCCTTCTCTGTGAACTCTTCCTCAAAGAACACTTATCATTGTCTGAGGTCAAGTTCATCCCACATTGGAAGTTCAGAACAGCACAAAAGAGGAACTTCCTGGATGAAGAGGTTGCCTATAGGAAGCTCTTCAACACAGATTAAACCAGGATAAGGAAGCCATGAAGTCATCTAGATACAGTTAGACATCCCGTTTTGAAAAGAAACTGAAATTTGCAAACTGAGATCCCAGTGACAAGCAAAGTGTGAAAAATAAAAAATTTTGGAGATTTTGAAATTAAACTTTTCACTCTCACATATAGTAAAATAGTGTTTATACAGAGCTTTCTTTTTCAGTTTTCTGCTTCTGAATTTACACTAAGGCATTTAGACATGCCAATCTACTGCCCTTCCTATCACTTATATTTACTTAAAAGAACAAGCATTGGTTAATTTTTCTGAAATTCTATCACTAGATAGAAGTCGTGTTTTTCTAGATGAAGAATAACCAAGACAGTGATACCTGCCTCAGCATTACCAAAATTCAGGTAAATAGGCAGTAATTTAAAAATTCTCAAGAAAGTTCTAGTGACTTTAGCATCTTGTATCTGTTTCAGCCAAATTATTAAATGCATAAAAGCAATTATGGATTATTGACATTGTCATGGTATGTAATTGGTTCTAAACATCCCAAAGATGAACAAAATTTGAAATAACTCAAAACTCAATGGAAAATTGGTCAATTTTTAGCAGGTTTGAGTAATCTGCCCATTCTAGAAGTTAGTGGCTATGCCTTTTCATAGACAGTAACACCTCCTTTTCTTAGACATTAGGGTTATTTTGCCACAATAATGTACTTTCCAGACACACAAAAAGCAAGTTGATTGACACTGTCCAACGAAAAATATTCACACCTTGTGGCAGACAGGTGTGAAAGGAAAGAAAAAACAAACAAGACTTAAAGCTGCCTTCCTTGGAATAAGGAAAAAAAAATTACCTGTGAACTTCAAAATGAAAACAAAAATCCCTTACATTTCATGGCTACCATAATTCATATCCTAAACTCTTATCTGGGACAAGTAAAATTTCTTGCACATTTGATGTTTGGAGTCTTCAGTGTTAAATTTAATAGGGATGTAAATAATAAATTATTTTTAGTTCTTTGCCTTTAATCATGAGAGCATAGAATTGTTCTTTTTTTATTCATTCAGTGCTGTTGTTGTTTGCTTAATCCTGAGAACCTTTATCAATACTCAAAAGAAATTCTATTGCAGGGTGTTTGATTTCCATAATCCCACACAACACAGACATTTATTTTATGGGAACTGCTTCTGGGTCCTTTGAAATTGACAACAGATTGTCCCCCATGTCACAGGTAACTGAGGTGTAACATAACATAAAATGATCGCCATACCACTGGTTATCTCCCCTGTGCTTCTGTCTGCAGTTGTTGGAGATAATCTATGACTGTTCTTTTCTGCTGATGGTCCTCGTGGTGAGGCAAGCTGGAAATCTGCTCCTCCACTCTCAGAGTTTTTCTGAGTCTGAATTGCAGGGTCTGAAACACAACCCAGAAGCTTATTAAGTGTCTGTGGACCCTCATATTTTGCACTTTTCTTACTTAAATCATGGAAAAAGGAACATAGTGTTCCCCTGGGATACAAACATCTTCCAAACAGCATAGGAGTTTTGTAAGGCAGGAGGAGAATGACAGCCACATGAAATAAAGATTTAACACTAGGTATGGAAGGGCAAACCACAGAAGTTCTAAAAACAGGCTTGTAAAAAATCTGCAAAATAATCAAGCAGCACTGCACTAGCTCAGTTATATACCCAGCATGAGGGAAGGCAGAGTATGTGTATGAGCATTTATTCAAGCTCATACAGGAGGGTAAGACAGGATTTAATACCAATGTCTTCAGTAAGTAGCAAAGTAGAAAAATTTTTAGAAAAACAAACAATTAACTCTTAAATTCCGAAGTCAGAATAATGCAAACATGTTGGCATTTTGTGAACTCTTCACATGTTCTTTGCTTTATGTTCTTACCATTTTGACATAAATCTTCAGTTGTTTGGTGAGTATTTCTTTTGCCCCCTTGATCTGAAGAATCACTGCACAGTGAGGATGACAGCTCCAGTTTCTCAGTGTCTGGCACAGATTCGGTTCCCTTTCCTGAACTTAGAAGTTGGCATGGTCTATTATTATTTTTGCTCCCCTGGGTCTTTGTTACCTTGAAAGAGATTTCATTAATGAATGACAAAAATGTAACAGCTGTCAAAATAGTCAAAGTAAACACACATTTTGAATGAAGCTTATTTTTAAAATAAATGCTCCCATATATATGTATATATATTTTTAATACTGTCTTTTCAGGAAGCTTTATGGTAGGTGTAGTTTTGTTTGGTAACTTCAGTCTTTGCAGTCTACTAACAGGTAGGGGATTTTTCACTGAGTGAAAGGAAAACAAGAAAAAGAAAAGGGAAATAAGATTAAAATTCATTATTTGGATAAAAAGAGAGTGAAACTCATGGCTGTTCTAGACCTCAGAAAATCCCTTCTTCTTTGGAGAAAGAAATCTCATTTCACATCAGGTTTTAACTGACTTCCTACAGAAGAGCTTAGTTCCTTTATTTATGCTGTTAAAATTGAGAATTACATTCCCAAGCAGGTACCTCAAACCTGCAGACTGTTTGCTGGCAGAGGGAGAGCAGCAGTTTCCCTGGCATTGTAACTGACAGCAGCACCTGAGTTACTCTATGGCTGACCATCATCTGCTGAGTGTCCCAAAAGGCAGAGTTTCTGCTCTGCTTCCCAGCCCTCAGCATAAGGAAAAATATTGACATACAGACACAAACATTGCAGCAGTCGTGCACAAAAACAAGAATGATAAGAAACCACAAAGTAATTCCAGCAGGGAGAAACATCTGTGGGCATAATGCTGAAATGAGACCAGCCTGTTCCAGTCAAGTTTTGTTATCTCTGAAAGTTCTGAAGCTCCACAGTCTCCCAATGACCCCATTCCAGTACTGAGCCCCTTTATCCCCACACCCAGGCAGAGCCTCCCTGCCATTTGGACCTCCTGCCTCTGTCCTTTCCCTGCTCACTGCTTAAAAGAATAGGCCTGTCTTCTCTACCACCCTGCATTGGTTGAAAAAAAGCAACTAGATCCTCCCTTAACCTTTTCTTCTGCAGGCTGAACAAACCCATGCCATGTGCTGTAGCCATCCAAGCACTTTACTTGCCTTCCACAGCATCTCAGGCCCTGGGGGCCCCTGACTGAACACAAGACTCCAGACACAGCCCTACATCAGCTCTGAAAAAATCTCCCCTGGTTATTAATCTCTTCCTTGGTAGAAGTGGCAGCAGTTTGTTTGTCATTTAAGCCTTCTTACCTCTCCAGATACCCTCGTTCTGCCTCTTCTGTTTGAAGATGGAGGTGGCCCCAGGATCTTTGATCCAAATGCAATATGTGATACATGCTGAGTTTTACTGCTGCGTGCGTTGCCTTGTCCTCTATTCATCAAGCTACCTAAGTTGAGAAAAAATAAGGGTTTAGAAATATTACAGTACTTACCAAGAATATTACTACTTTTTTTTTCAAATCAATGGAAATAAAAGAATTATGAATATCAAACATACGCCAGAGTTGGATGTTTAACAATGTTCCTTTATAACACCATCCTTAAAAATATGTAGGATTAGAAAATGTACATTTTACACGTGTGCCAACATACAAGCAAGAAACTCTTGGTCTACTATATGAACATATTTTTAATCTTCTTGCCTTAAAGATTTATTTTAAAAGAGGCTATTAAAAATGGTTTGCATGATTTCTTTAAAACTTACTTCTGACAAGAAGAAAAACCAGTTCTAATTAAGAAATAACAGAATAAACAAATAATACTACAAGAAAACTCAGGCAAGACTGTCAAGGTATCACTCATAGCTCAGAGAGCTATTTATGTGCAGCTGGCTTTTTGGAATTACTGAATCTACTGAATCACCAGGGCTGAGCTGTAATAACAACCTTAGTTCCTTTTATAATGTTCTGCCCCTTTCATTATTAATTTTTTACTGTTGAAAATGCAGATATATTTTTCTCATTCTTTTTAAGCACAGAAAAAGCCAACAATTTGCAAAACAAACAAGGAAACATGGAATGCTGGTGAATGTTCTGAAAAAAAAATTTAAAATGGAAGTAAAATGGTTACATATCAATTTTGTCAGCAGGGTTGCAGAACTGAATGTATTTTCCTTCTTTTTAATTATCCAAGAAATTCAGTGAATTCTCCTGTCTAGAGATGCCAAAAAAAAAAAAAAAAAAAGTGTATCTTCTCATTAATTTCCAGTTAAAATTTACGACTGAAGATTTTTTCTTGCTATAACTTCAGTGTCAATTTAATGTCTCACTTTAGATATGACACCTTCGTAAAGCAAGGTAGAAATAAAAGTGTTGTTGAATCTGTAAGTATATTTCAGAATTATTTAATATTAATTTAATATCAGCTTTCTTTCCAGTGACACCAAATATTGTAATTTGCTGTTCTAATACGCACAGAAGTTACTTTGCAATTACCTCCTTCCCTTTTTGCTGATGTGACATTTAGTTGCTGCTAACAGCTGACATTTCACAAGCTAAGATGACCTGTCTTGGTTTAACATCAATTTCTCTAATTTGCTGACTACCTTGGGATGTTGTTAGCTCCAATTACAACAGCTTATTTGCATTAAAATCTCTCTTTGTGAACACATTAGTTGACTGCAATTAATTACCTACACACAACAGTGTGAGGATGGCATAAGGAAATCATGTGTAATGAAAAGTGGATCATAATAAAAATAATTTGGGCTTTTGATTATCAAAAAGTTTAGTGGATACAAAGAACATTTCCCAATTAAAATGTACTTTAAAAGCTTCCATTTTCAAGAAGGCCTCTTCTGAAATTTGCTTAGCATGTCTGGAAGAACACATGCTATGTTCATAAAATGGGACTGAAAATAAAGATTAAACCTTAAACTGCAGACACTTCATTTTCATGCAGGTCAGAGATAACATCATTACTTATTTTACTCTACATACCTAAGGGCTATGCATCCTTGTAGTCCAGACAGTAAAATCTGAATCTTTTTTAAAATGAACATCCTTTTTTTTTTTTGTTTAGATCTATCATTCACAGTATTGTACTCATATAAGTTTCTCGTTCTTAAATTCATTCTAATCATCTTTTTCTAGCACATATTTCAGGATACTCACTTTTGCAAATGGATCTGCAGAATAATCTTTTTTTTAAAATAGTACAGATTAGTTACATGCAACTGGATTTACAAAAATTCCATTATTTGTAGGCATAATGTCTAGATCATATTAACAGTATTTGAATACAAGAGGATACCTGTTTCTTGCACTGTTACTGGGCTTCTCCCACATTTTATTTCTGGGTTGTAAATTTTAGTCAGGTTCAGCAAGTGTGTAACTTGTGGCACATCTGTATGAAGCTGGCAGGTTTGAGGAATAACAGCTGTGGGTTCATATGGCATAAGTGGAACACCACATATATCTAGAACCAAAAAACAGGCTTTACTTCACTCAGATGGCAGAACAGAATTAAATTCAACTTACCTTATATGTCAGATTACATATATTTCAGTCCATATGGTTATAACAACTTAATATAGTACAGTAATTTGAGAACTTTGCTGCATTTTTTTCACTTCTAAGACATTAAACATGTACATTTTAAAGTTATATTGGGCATTTTTTGGGCAAAAAATTGAATATATTTAAACTAAGAAATATGCACCAATATCTGGAATAGCCATAGTAAATCAGCTGCTTTGATTTGGCAAACAATCAAAACAGGACCACAATGTACATTTAATTTTTATTGCAACTCATTCCCATACTGATATTTTTTAGACAAAATGGACATTTGAAAATGGCATTGATGTCAGTGGGACTGAAGTGGCAAATAGGCAGGCACCATATATGCAACTAAAGAATCTAAGCAGCTTTTACTCCAAACTTTGGACAGCATCACACTGTCATGGTAAACTAAAAATCTGTCAACCTATCTACTCTTGTCACACCAGGCACTGGTAGAACAGGATCTAATTGTGTCTGCTTTCTCCTTGATAACCAATATAGGCTGAGTTTATGAAAGTTATCTGATCCAGAGTATCCAGAGTATCCAGAGTCAGAAACATTCCTGAAATTCTGATGTAAAGTCATTCCAAAGCTTGTAAGACTTGAATGTGGTAAGTTAATGAACACTAGCCTCTTTTCCAAGGGTAAGAGGACGAAAACAGCCCCAAACCCAAACCTGAATAATGAATCAAGTACTGAGATCCTAATAGAAAAATTAAAGTGTCCCCTGATATATTTCAATGGTAGACACATTTATTTAACCAAGATCAATGCTAGCAACCATTTTTTCACCAAGACAGAATATTATTTACTGCTGTAAAACAATACTTAGGGGTAAAAACCCCATATATAACCTCAGAAGTACCATGGAAACCAGAAACTAAGTATATATCAAGCTTGTAAGCCTCAATATCATGAGACAGAGAAGATTAATGCTTTCCTCTTCTTTCTCAGTGATCTCACCCAGAAATACTTTTCTAGTAGATGGGATTTCTCTTCTCCACTTGCATTTTAAGAATGCAAAACATACTGTATGCAAGGTACTGAACCAGAATAACACATTGCACCTTGAAATCACTACTTCCTCAACCAAGGGGGTTTGAGGAAAGAACTCAACCCTCATTAGATGTTGCAGTGTCATTGCATTCAGTGGAGCACAACTAACTGGTCCAACCACCCAAGAGGAAAAAAGCTTTGTGAAATCATGATTGTCAACTGAAATTAATAATGACAAAAAAAACCAACTATTGTTTTTCTTTACTTGGGTATGATGTATGGAGTTATTTTATTACAGCCAAACCTTGGGCTGTAACGTGATTTTTCAGACTTGCCTAGATAAGGAAATTCATAAGCAGACAGAAAATACCACTGCCCACCAGCTGTGTAATAGTAATAATATTGATAATTCTAGTAATTAAAAGTGTAAATTTTTACCAGTATATTAAAGCTGTCTATTCATTATGCTAACTACACTTTGGAATTTTGAAACTCATTTAAACCATTTCTGCATATTTCAAAAAACTGTTTAGAATGGAAGAGAGAAAACATTGCACCAATGGAATTGATTTTAAACCAGAGGCCTCTAACTGCAGTTTCTGCTGAGACTTTACCAGACTGTTTCAGCAGTAATTTTGGAATTCCTAGTTTTTTTCTCAACCTCACCACCACTCTCCCTTATTGGTTTAGGTTTTCTAAAAAGAAGATACATTTTGTTACACTTACATTCCTGTTACCCTCCCTCCTTTGGAAGCCAGAACCCTTTTTTTTTTTTTCAGGGGTGTTATTTAAAAGTCAGAAAATGAAAACTTGAATGAAATTAGAGCTGAACTATACCTCTAAAATAAGAAAGCACCAGCTGTGCTTTTTCAATTCCTCCTCTATTACTGCAAATATCAGTGAGGAATAAAGTTCTCTCCCTTGGAAAATAATGATTCAGGATTATGATGCTAGTTTGGAGACTTTGACCAATATCCTGTGCTATTACAAATATAACCTCTCATTTTTCAGCTCACCACCAAGATGAGTTTCCCAAGGAACAAGGACACATTAGGATAAATGGACTAAAGATCACAGAGAATTGCTTATGACAGTTTCATAGCTCTATTTTATATATATATATTTCACATATATAATTCATATATACTAGGGGTTTTTTGTAATTTTGTCTTGGATCATTTAAATATTTAGTCTTAATAAGTTAATTCTGGACTGGTAATGCTCAAAATTAAGAAAACAAATAGCAAATGCTGCTAAGTTTAAGTATTTATCTTTCCTTTCAGACACTCTCTTCTTGGCCAAAACCTGATTTCTGTCAGCATAAGATACCCTGATTAAAACAAACTCTCTACCTGATACATCTTGCCAGATTATTTTTTTTTCAGTAAAATACTTCAAAGTCAGTCAATGTTTAAAACACAGTACACATACATTTAATTCCTTGCCTGAAGTCCAACACTAGCAGATCTAATATCCTGTACTATCACTTTAATTTTCATGAAATAAACTTTCAAATTGCCAATGTGATTGCTAAGAAGGCTTTGATGGCATAATATCTACAATTCCATAGTAACTATAACACACCATCTTCCTCAGCTTCTTGAGGCTTGGATTTTAAAGTGAAGATCTTTCTCAGTTTGCAGTTGGCTGAAACAGTGATTCCATCCAATGACTGGAAGACAGCTCCTCTGAATATTTCACTGGTGAATGCTACCAAGTCAATACACATGTTGCACCACTAGAAAAGAGAAACAACACTCTTTAATACAACTCAAACACTCAACATAAAAATACTGGTTTCTAAATGCCAAATAATAAATATTTTTGGGGAAAAGAATTAGATGCATACATTACTATTTAGCTGCTAAGTCTGAAATTTGGACAGGAAAGGAACAGTTGATTGAAGACACCAAGCAGTGGAATAGAAAATGCAGTATTTAGTTATGACTGGTATATCTATGGCTGAGATAGAAAAATAACATCATTTGTAAGAATAAAATACAGGAAACTAGCATATGAAAAGTTAAACTACGTTCTACTGATGGAACAAACAACATAGTTTGTCCTTATTCACAACCAGTAATATTAATTATAATGATCACCTTGTGTACAGAATAGGTAAAAATACCAGAGCCATGTAAAAGATTTATCCAGTCACTGAAAACAGAATCATCCCATTGCTGGCTCATGTTGAGTTTTTCATCCACCAGTTCCCCCAAGTTGTCTTCCTCAGGGCTGCTCTCAGTGCAGGTTCTGTATTCTGGCAGCCATACATTGAGTGTGGGTGTAGGACAGGGGCACAGGAAGAAGCTGATGGCTGTTGTTTGACACACACATTGGTTTATATGTACCAGAATCTGGAAGAACCTGAAGCACATGAAGTAGCCATCAGCTACAGTCCATCTGCAGCGCCAGTGAACGTAAGAAAAGGTCACTCCAGGAGAAGGTACATGAAGAAGAGCACAACAATGAAGTAGTATCAGGGACACAGAGAACTTTACAAAGGCTGAAGAGGCAACAGAAGTGAGAGAAAAACACTTCAAAACAGCATTAATCTTGGATAATGGGAATGAACTGCCAGCGTCGGAAGAGGGGCAGAAGAGGAGTAGCATGAAGTGGTTCTGACACCATCCAGTAGAGGGGACACACATCTTGATTTGGCAGGGACTGAATTCTAAACCAAGCAGTAATTTCAACAAGTCCATAAACTTGCATAAAACATTTGAGAAAAAAGCATGCTCAGCCAGAGTGAGGAGTATTCCCAAGGTACCTACAATTTTGCGCTTGAGCGTAAACAGAGGAATTTTTGCATGCAGGGTGGTCACAGACAACTCCCTGTGGACTGTTGATAAATACAATCTTCTTTTAATATTTCCTAAATCAGTTATCCTATAAAAGAAAAAAGCAGGAGAGAACGGAACATATCTTGGTCAATTTGATAACCCAGTATCTTTGGGCAATCACAAAAAAACCTATTCATCTGCAGAAGCTTTATGGTAGTGAGAGCAAATATGGAATTTAAGAATTACTTCTTTTACAAGAGGAGTAATGAGATTTCCTTCTCAAATTCAAAGTTGGTGGCTATATTCCTGCATATATAAACTCACTTTACATGCTAATTTTATTTCAACAGTCTGCACTCTGCTAGATTTCCACAGACCTTTAGATTATGAAAAAATTCAATTTGTACAAACTGAGAACCCAGTGGCCTTTAATAATCACACTTGTTTCTGCCCCTTAAGCTTGTGTTATCTTGGGACACACTGTCACGTCCTAACTAGAATAACATTATTAGCTTTCTTTTCCTAAAAATGCCTCTGTCATTTGATATAGACTCTTTGTTGGCTTAAAGCTAGACAGAAGACATGGTCTGTCTGTTTTACTTCCTAAGCACGTATCTTCAAATGTGAATTATAATTCAGAGGTTTATTGTTCACTGTCCAGGTCATCTGACAATGACACCAAGGACACTGGATTTGAACATTTCTAATAGATTCAGACCACAGACATGATAACAAAGATTAGGTTTCCTTTAAACTGATCAAGAAGCTCATTTTTATGTTCTGTTTTCTTCAAGTCTTGTGAGCAGATGTACTGGTTCTGAATGGGATGGAGTTAAATTTCTTCAGAGCAGTTTGTATAGCACTATGTTTTGGATCTGTGATGAAAGCAGTGCTAGTAACACAGGGATGCTCTCATTATTGCTGAGCAGCGCTTACACAGCATCAAGACCTTTTCAGCTTCTCACACCAGCCCACCAGCAGGTAGGCTGGGGATGCACAAGAAGTTGGAAGGAGACAAAGCTGAGACAACTGATCCCAAATGACCAAAGTGATATTCCACACCACGGGACACCAATAAAAGCTGTAGGGAAGAGGAAGAAGAAGAAAGGGGGAAAGTTCAGAGTTTCAGTCTGTCTTCCCATGTAACCAGCAGGCATGATGGAGCCCGAGCTCCTGGAGGTGGCTGAAGACCTGACTGCCACTGGGAAGTAGCAGAGGCCTTATTTAGCTTTGGTTGCACATGCAGCTTTTGCTTTACCTATTAAACTGTCTTTATCTCAGCCTACACATTTTTGCACTTTTACCCCATCCCAGTACAGGGGGAGTGAGAGGGTGGCTGTGTGAGGCTCAGCTGCCCACTAGGGTTAAACCACAACAACAACACAGCCTTGATATCCCTCAGCAGTCCTACCTTATTACACTGGAGAACAGACATTAAAGGCTATTTACCTATTACTCTTCAACAAGCCTATTTGTAAGAGATGCGTATTTCTCTGTAATTAGCAGCCCATCTGAGATGACAACAAATAATTACAATAAACAACTTTCTGTCACAACTTACTGTTGTTGGAAACAATTACTCATAATTGTTAGATTTAAATGCTGGGGCTCACCTTAAATTGTGAGACTGCTCTCCAGATTTTTTTATTACTGAAAACCCTTTTTCATTAGTAAGGACTCCCTCACTCACTCACTGCTAGTGAGATATTGTCACCCACAGTTTGCAGACAAATGCTCTGGTATGTTCTGCAGATTCCTCAGCTCAGTTTAGGAGGACATTAATTCTGGAGCAATTTATATACTTCAGCTATTTTTGGCAATTCAAGAGTTCAGCTAAGGACAGCACAAAATACACTGCAAGTATGTAACCATCAAAGGTCCTACACTAGTACTACAGATAAAAACACAGCAGCACCTTCTTGTTTCCTCATAGTCATCAAGCAAACAGGAAGTTCATCAAGTTTCCAGAATCTGCTGATTCTTTCCTTCCTTTGCAGACAATCTGATCTTGAATCTATTCATCCTCATAACATGGGTGTGCGAATCAAAAGCAAGTGGAAGTGTTGACTGTCTGTTACATTTGAAAGACAAGCAGTTCCTCTCATAAATCAGATGCAGGCAGGAATGTCACTGCTGTGTTGGGGGGAACACATTATATCCTCGCCACCGTTATCATTTGGTGTGGTGGGTTTCAGTATTAGCTGCACATATACTTATGGATGGATGAATAATACCATCAAGCTTTGGAAAAGAGTTTTCTTCAGTCTCAAAGTGTCTCACAATGCTTTCAATCTGGGCTTGAACTTTTGAAGAAATTTAAGATATGAAATCATTCACCTAATGCCATCAGTAAGTTGACACCATCACTCAGCCTGTGCCCCAGATTAAAGCTTAGTTGAATCCATCACTTTCCTGCTAATATACCCTGTCTCTAAAAAACCCATGGATGTTAGTTTTCAGACACTCTTCCACTCTGTTCTAAATCTTGGTTTTCAGAAGTGCTGGGAAATCGAGGCACCAAAAAAAACGTTCAAGAATTGGAGTAGTGGTTGCTTGAAACACTCCTAGATCAGCAGGTGACGCTGAGGAATCAGGCAGATGCACTAACCTGAGTGCTGAAAACAAAAATACTGCTCCTGC